CCTGTTAAGTATTTTTCAAGGGACTTTTCCAATTGGAGCATGCTGTCCTTTTTTATCTTAACTCATTGTTATCAGCAGAAAAGTATCTTTGAGCTTTTACAGTAAAAAAAATTGTTTGGAATAGTCATTTGCAGCTCAAAGATTTAACACCAGACTATTAAATAATACAACATGGACTGAACAACCACACCGTGCCAATGTAACAAAAAGTGCCACTCAAACAGATGTCAGGGATGTCCCACTGTAACTTTTGCCCACAGCAGTCAAAGGAGATCATATCCTTTCTAAGGCACCTCAAAATCCCTCCAAAGTTGTCTTCCACTTTTCTACTAACCTGATTTGCAGGAAAGGAATACTTTGCTTCAATAACAACATGACTCTCGCAATAAGGGCATTTTAATGGATCATACATTTTACACTGTTTAAGACATGTTTTGCTTGTCATTTGTCCCTTTTTGCCAGGATACTCCCACTCAGCACCAAATAAACCTTCAAAAGAAAGACACAAGGAAGCTGGTATTTCAGATGATGTCAGTGGGACACTGCCAAAGGAAGCGGCCAGAAGCAAAACCGAACTGCCTGACATAGTAGGCTAAAGCTGAATAGGCCCCATAGCAAGCACAAATTATTTTAATACAGTAGGCTACTATCAGAGCTGCAGAGAGGGAGGTAACAACTATTGTGAAGCATAAACCAAGAGCTTGTAACATAAGAGTTTTATTATGCAACACAGCTAACTGTGATACAAAATTATACATGTAAATGTATCTCTTTCTCTCCTCCTCTAACCATGTTCTATACTACGTATCAATCCTTGACAGTTTTCAGGTCCTCTTACATAGCAGCACACAGTTAGAAAGTTGTAATTATGCCACAGAATTTTTCATTAAAATGGGTGCTTCTGTACTGCCGTCAAAAATTTGTTAGCTAGCCCAAATTGTGTACATTTTATTTTTAAAACATGTATCAGTGTCTCAAAGTAGAGAGTTGATAATGCAAACTATAAAAAAGCTGTGTTTAAACACTTTCTGTAGCTCTCATGTTTAATAATAACAAAGCAAACATCAGCGATGAAGAGATTTAAGCAGGCCTGATGGCAACCCCCTTTTGCCCAGGGAATACAGCTAAGGGCACAGGGCTAGCACATCAACTTCTCCACTTACTAGAGAAGCCCATGAACAATAACTAAGTCTTAGCAATGCTTCATATGACACATCAGTTTTGAAATCAGTTTGTTAATGTTTTTAGTAACTATAGTAATTGCTATAAATTTTAGGTAGTACCTTAACTGGTTGTGAGACATTCACATGTAAGCACTTGTATAATATTTAACACCTGTTTAAGCTATTTCCAATATCTGTAGTATTTTCATATACATCATTTCTGAAAATCAACTAAACATTTAATAGTATGCTGTACTAAAAAATTCACTGCGCAGCAGTGGTTGGAAAACCACCACTCTAGAGTCTACAATGCTTTAACTAAATATACATCTTTCCTAGACCTGCTCAGTTCTGAAATCGCTTAATTTCCTGATTTTTTTTCCACTTGTCACCTCTACAAGTAATTCAAAAGGGGTTACCTCTACATAGATGAAACAGAGTTGTCTACATTAATTTTAATTTGCAGAATCTGTAATTCCCTGAAACTTATTAGCATACTGTCGAGATGACAGTACAGTTGCTAGTTTCATAGATGCCTTTTATCTATATTATCTATTTGAAAGGAACTCCCAAGCATCAGATAACTGAGTCACTCCACAGCTTACTGACCTTCTCCTTCCAAGAAGCAGACTAATGGATATGAATCAATGTTATTTAAATTCATGTTACAAATTATTACAAAGCCTGTGTTATTTAAATCATAACGGTTCTATTGAAAAGATGAACTGAATGCAAATTACAAGTGAGAAAAAAAGAAGTTACGGTGATACTTATCATAAAACAGTTCCATTGCTGGGTTGCCAAAGACTGATTCATCACTCTATTACACACTCAGAAGGGATATATATTGAAAAACCACAAAACTCAGTAACTTCAAGATTTCCTCAAGATTAAAAACTTGCACAGTCTATCCTCAATTTTTACTCATGCAACTCTACATACATAAATATCTCCAAGCAACTTCATCTTCTTGCTTTAGCATATACAATATACAACATATTTAATTTAGATACTGGTATTTTGGAATGAGGCATTCTTGTGGAAAAGCAGCAGGACAGCTTAATTTCCAAAGCCTCAGCACCGGGGGAGGAGATTAATCTCTTTCAACTAGTCCGTTCAGGTTGTTCATCCCTCATGTAGCATCAAAGTTTTGGACAGAAACAGAAAAAGTATACTGTACTCCATGAAAGAATTAATAACCATCTTTAGCACAAATGATAGGCTGGTCTAATTACACCTTATTGCAATGGAAGATCAGATGGCCATTGCATATATTTTTTAATAAAGAAAAGCATATAAAGAAACAGAGCTGGAATGAAACTACACAAAAATACTCATCCCAGAGACTTTAATGTGGGTGCCAGGGTTTGTGTGTAAATTTATACATATGTGTATGTGTAAAAAAACCCTCAGGTATGAATAATGTGAGCAGAGGACTGACATCTTCAGTACTCCAGCTAGACAACCACAAGCAGTCTAAAGGTATTTGTGGGTGACTTTATACATACTTTCCTATCAGTCTGCTTGAAGATGAACAAATAAACACTCTTGCAGAAATTTCAACACCTGTTTAACTTCTGCTGATTTCCTCTAGAAGCCTTCTCTTACAAACATAAACCTGAAATCTCCCAGTATTTTCCCTTGAGAGTTCAGTTTCTTCCAAAAACACCAGTAACTTTTGTGACTGAGCACCTGAGGTTATTCCTTCTCAAATCGTAATACACTTGCCTTCTGAAGACTAATTGCATGCTTAACAAAATAATCTATGTTGATGAAGTTTCCTGAATACGTTACAATATCAAAACCACTATGGCCTCCACATCCAACAAGTTTATTTGGTACATCTACTAGTTTTTCTACTTTACTGTTGGACATATTTTTGGAAATGTTATGATACAAGTTAAAGTTAGTGGTGCCTGGATGCCTGGAAAAGGGAGAAATTTATCACCTCTGATGACAGAACTTTTTGTTGACCTCCACTCAATCCATCTAAAGACCTAGCCCTCTCCTCCCCACATCAGATCTGAACAATGTTAGCTCTTGAATTCTACTATTTCTGTAGCAATCAATGAAAAATCGTTGGTTTTCCTTTAAAATACAGGGTGTAGGTTGTTTCTACAGAGCTTCTGTCCAGGTCAGCTGTTTATTTTCACTGGGTAACACAGGCAGCTATTTTCTTACGCACCACAAAGCAGACCTAAGCTACAGCTAGCAGATGTGTACCATATTTATTCAAGTTACATTCTACTTCTTGCTGGCTTTGACTACCATCTCTCTCTGATTTAGTTCAGATCATCACAGTAAGCCAATGAACTTTGTTTTAGTGGTAACACTTGGCATATTCATCCTTAAAAATCAGCTTTGCTCTCAAGCTGGCAGTCCAACAAATGCAAACTCAGGACCCGCACTAAGACATCTAGCAACTGATTCCCCCCATTTAGTAACTGTATTCATGCAGGAGACTGATTTTATTTCTTTCCTTCCTCAAATTCTCCAATAGAAAATAGAAGTTCTCACGTATTTCAAGCTTCCTGATATAAAAATACATCTGTGAAAGTAGTAATATGGCATAGATCACATTATGAATCTTACTGATATTTCATAGTGACAGCCACCAGGCTTTAAAATGAGGGATTTCTAAGTGTTTACAGTAATACCAACATATACTGTAATATCCAGGCCAAAAAAAGTTTGTTCTTGTCTTTGAATATATTCCGCGGAATTGTTTTATTCACACAATTTCTAAGTAGATGTTATTCAGCACTGCAATGATACACTGTAAAACTGGGCCTTGCTTTGTCCTTTTTTCCTCTCCAGCTATCACTCTGCAGTCCACAAGAAGAAAGTAATGATGGCAGAGAAACCTAAGCCACCACACTCCATTCATCAGAAACAAAAGACTGCAGAGTCCAGAAATGTAAGAGAATCACACAGAAGGAAGGCCGCCTCTGGCTTCACTCTCTACCCCTCTCTAGCTTAATAGGATCCTGCTACAAATAAATTGGCACATCCGCTGTTTAATATGCTTGAAAGCAGAGATCTTCAGCAAAGTTTATGAAATGATAGTGAAAGCATTATTATTATAACTAAAGGAAAAAATATTCCCTGTATCTGCAGAGATGGGTCATCCAAACTCCTAGCTAAAACTTGTAAGATAAGGATTGAAGGACAGCTCACCAAAAGTGCAATAGGTTCATGCTAAGCCTGTATTTTGCTGCTTCTATTAAAACAGTATCTTAATGCAATTTAAAAGAACCTTATGTCCATATACCTTCATTACAGTTTCTTTTTGAAAATCGAAATCATTAGTCAGGAAAATTATAATGACTGCAATCAACATACATCATTCAAGTTACTGTTTAAACAGCCATTCTAAACCAGTGTAGAATTTCCAATGTCATACTACATTTTGGAAACTATTAATTGAAGAGAAAGCTTTGATGTGGTATTCCCCAGTGCAGTTAGTGCTGGTATAAGCTCTGCAGCGTACATTTCAAGAAAAGAATTTCCGTACCATTTTTTTTGTACAGATGTATATATGCATGTGCATACATGTGTATGTACTTATACATACACAAGCTTAAAAGCATTGCTCACTCTTCCTTAACCTAAGGGGGGGGGGGGGGGGGGGGATATCAACAAAAAACCATAAAAGCAGCTCAGATAAATTCACAGGTACATGTGCTTCATTAATAATAACAAAGAAACTTCCGGTTTAGCCTCACTACAACAGAAAGAGTTGTTACCTTAAACTTTAGCATGACATACGAACATAATAAGTCAACTGCAGCAAAACTACCATGCCAATACCTTAGGAAAAAACAAGTACATACAGACCTTCACTACAAAAGGGTCTCCTGATGCCAGAGAAATTCACAGTCTCATGCAGCGTCTTCTCTTCTTGACAGTATTCACAGTATGTAACTATGCAGTGCAGTTTCTTATAATCATCAGCACATGCTCTGCTGCAGAACTGATACACTTTGTTCTAAAAGCAGAGTTGTAAAGCACCATGAATAGGGATAAAATCTACAGGTTTTCATAGTTCAGCATTATAAATAACAGTTTGCCATCGAGACAACTTTAACATGAAAAGTAAACGGAAGCGCAAACACATCATTTGGGCATGACTTCTAATGCTAAAAATTAACAACTCTCACTAAAGCTGACCGCAAGTGCTACAAATACTCATAATTTTGTATGCAAATGCTAAGCAGAAAATATGCCAATCAATATTAGCACATCCTCTTCAGATATTTCTCTCAATTCAATAGAGAAGTGTAACAATGGTCTATCATATCTACAGTCACACAACTAAAGATGAAAGCATACTTCAAGCTTACAGCTGATCTGAGAATTTACTTTTTTCTTTAAATTCCACAGATGCTTTTTTATTTGTTATTTATAAAGAGACTTCTGTTTTTATCCATACTAAAGTTTAATTATATTCTACAGAACCAGGCAGAATTTATTAGCTTAATTTTTTAAGCTTTGCCGCCTTATAAAGTACCTATCTGCAGCAACTGTATTGAAATTACAGTTTAAATTTGGAAACACTTCATCATTCTAAAAGTAAAACCAAACCGCCACTTACCTCCCATTCCAGTACTTCTGGCTTCGAACAAAAAGAACTTTTGCAATAATTACATTTCAACTGAATATCACTGGGAGAGACAAACTGACCATTTGTTGAAGACTGCACACTGAGAGTCTGAAAAACACAAGACAGACATATCACTTCTTCGTTACTTCTAGAATGTGTTTTTAATTACGCCTAAGTGTTCGAGAATCTGAGAGTGCATAAGCAAGCTCAAGAGCATTCCTGGAGAAAGCACAGCAGGCCAGTCATTTGCCTTAATTCTTTTCCCCTTGTCACCTTAGGTTTTCCAATCTTGAATCCTTACCCTTACCTTCCACGATTATTACTTTAGGCTGTTTTTCTCATACCTTACCTTTCTAATACCTGGTATGGGAAATTATAAATGAAAAAAAAAAAAAAAAGAGGGAAAAAAAAAGTTTCCTGAAACAGAACACCTCTTAATCACAAAACATGCATTTTCAGATAAATACATTTCACAGCTTGCTTTATTTTGGTCACAGAAATTCAGACAAAGACCTATAAACAAGTATTTTCAAATTTGAACCTCACTAAGGCAGGTTATCAACACCTTAAGCAAACCCCTTGATACTATAAATATTAAAAGGCCTTCAGCAAGAAACCCTGTCTCTACTCACATTAAGAGAAAACTAGCTAATAGTCCTAGCTGGCCTCAATCACCAGGCAAGAAGATGCAGCCATTCAAACAGCCAGCCCCTAAACAATTATGGGTTAGCAGGTTGAGAAAAATACTGCGGATTGCATGTATAGGTATGAAAATTTAATTCTATAATTGAATCATTAACTTAATGCATTTCTGAGCCAATCAGTAGACACAGAACTCAGTTTTACACTAGGTCTTACATGTCTACAGATACAGTCTTCAGCATGTTCCCTAGATCAACCAACAACTACTAGTGTATTACACATGCGATGCTCAGGATAAAATCTGAATCAGTAATAATCACAGTCACTTGATCATTCAGGACAAATTTCCTACTTCCATCTTCTCAAACTTTCCCACATCATCTGCAACAAGACAAATACATTTATGGGAAAAAAGTTATCTTCAGAGAGATTTGTTACTACCTCTCTACCTTGTAACAGTGAAAAACTTAAAACATTTCTTCAAACCCTCCTGTTACTAAGGGTTTACCTACACTAAAAATAAAAAAAAACTGAAACTGATAGTGACATAAACCCTTACATAAGTGAACTAATACTGCTGAGTGCTAGCTAGCAGTGCAAGTGGTATCACCTTATGCAGATGCACTAACAAAAGTTTGCAGACATGAAGTAATCACGTACAGTTCCCAATCATGGACAAGACCTGAGAACAAACTGACATATACAGCAGAAAAGATGCCACCTTTATTCCAGTGGTCCACTGTCCCATGGTTGGACTTGATCTTAAAGGTCTTTTGCAACTTCGATGTTTCTGTGACTCTGTAACTAACAACTTTAACAGTCTGATGCCCACATACAGTATTGTCATATTTTTCCCCCTTATACCCAACAAATGTCCCCAAGATTGAAAGAGGACTGCTAGACTTCCGCTGCTCTAAATAGGTCATCCACTAAGACGGTTCCACAAGCAAAATCAAAGGTAATAAACTAAATGGGGAAGGAACCAAACACTCCCTTTATGGTCATGCACACACAGATCTTCCAGCCTCAGCGTGGAAGACTCAATTATTTTTATTATGATCAGATTTGGAAAAATATTTCTGACTAGCATGCCAGGCTTCCTTCATGATTCCTGCGACAACACACTCCAGTTTTAAAATATATGTAGGTGTAAGGAAGAGAGTTTTAAGATATATAATGAAGAACACTTACAGACACCCTAATGATGATCAAGAACACAAGATTAGCAAATAATGTGAGTAACCTGCTAAAAATGACTGTACTTGTAATTCTTAAACATACTGGTCCTACAACTCTCCAGAGCCATCCATAAATTGTGTGGTGAAAACCTGAACATTTTGTATAGACTCATGTTTTGCAACACAGCTTGTACTTTAAGACACACAGTTTCTAACTTTGGGAAGACACTTATACCACAACCCCCATGTTTACAATACATAAATTAGTAGTTTATTTTTTCGTAACAGACAAGTTCAGAACAAGGTCTTCAACTGACCCAGGCTTAAAACAATACAGCTTTTGAACAGTTTTGTCTTAAAACTTTGCTGTAACATCCTCCAAGACAGAGCATGGAAGATGACAAAACACAGTCACGCTGTTCTACCACCAACTACCACACACACACACACACACACACACACACACACACACACACACAAATCACATCAAGCCAGCTATTTTTCCTCTTTTACGCTCTTTCTTACAAGGATGAGCACTCTTACAAGCTCTCCGCGCAAAGGAGAATATAAATATGGACATAAGTTGCACAACAAGCAGCTCAACCAAATCTTTCAGATGTTTTAGTACATCAAAATTGCTGAAACAAAAAGTTATGACTAAAGTAAAATTACGATCAACCCTAAAGTAGTGTAAACAAATTGGGAATATTCCAACCCATTTGTAAACCAGAAGGACTAAAATTTTTGCAGGAGGGAGATGCAGACCTGAAATAACAGTTATTCTGTTCTGAAAAGGGTAGCCCCTAACAAAGAAAAATGTATGGGAAGAATAGGCACAGTAGGAAAAAGGAACGAATACACATGCCAGAAAATTAAAGCAAGACTTATCTGTATTAGTAAACAATAAAAAAAATATCAGAGTTCCAAAGTAAACTGGTCATTTTTCTAAGAGATCATTGCAAAAAGCACTGCAACTGACCAAATGGATTAAACCATTTCTCAAAGTGGGTGCAATCCCTTATGTGTCACTTAGGTAGAACAAAATCCTCGAAGGAACACTCACAGTCCAAAGCTAACATAATGGTATACTGTCCTTTCCACCTAAATACAAAATGAATGGAACAAAGAAGCTGGTCTCATACAATCAACTCTTATTTAATGGTGAATGAATTTTATTCTTCTAGACAACGAATATATGAAAACTTTTCTGAGTTACGTGAGCAAACTAACTGCAAGCAAGTGACCACCTACCCATTTCTGGTCTTTACTAAGAAACAAGACTATATGACTGCTCTAATTAAACTCCTTGCCAACATTAGAGAAATAGATCTACATAAAACACAAATTGCAACAGAAGCCTCAACAAGGTCTCAGCAAGATAAGAAATCCACAAGCAGGATCAACTGATCCAGCAGTTATATTCAATAATGTTGCTTAATATTGACTTATGTGCAAATCCAGGAAGGCACAAGCTGTAGATGTCATTCACTAGCTTTATTTTTCTCACTCAAATAGCAAAAAGGTTTTGTTCTGAGAGCTCCTGGGGCTGCAATTTAATTGTAAGACTACATAGAATAAAGTAGATGTCAAATGAGTTGGACTATTACAGACTGGTCATTACATACTATCTGCATCTATTCTGTTAATCAGTTCTACTGACAGACATTTACTAAATTGGTTAAGATGGAAGCACAGAGCAGGGCTACACGAGGAAAGGCCCTATTGAGGGTATATTAAGGAAGCAATTAAGAGATTGATTTGCTTTCCGGCTGATGAAAAGATTGGAGTATAATGACAAATGGGAAAACCCTGTATGGCTGTAACTTTTCAATAACACATGAGGAGGCAGTTATCAATTACACAGTCCACATCTGGGAAAACTGTTTTTACATACAAAAATTGAAACACTTAAGTGCTCTTCAATCACCCAGAGATTAATGACTACAACATACCTTACATATGCCTTAAATCTTATTAAATATCCGACAATTTTCAACAAGCATACAGCTTTGTCCAGTGTGCATGCCATTATGCTTGCCACACTCCGGCTTCTGGACATAATTTAAACAACTCGTTTTGTCCATAAATGCTCTCATGGCTTAGGTGCTAACCTTTCATTTCAGAGACAGTCACTATTCCCCCACGACACACCTTTGTTTGTACAATATTCAAAATTAGAATGTTCTTACAGTATTTAGTATGAGAGCTGAAATTTGTTTATCTTCAACACAGAACAGCTCATCTCCATAAAGAAGCTTGGGTGGTAAAAAGATTACCAGTGATATTACTTTGTGTTTTTTTATGGTATCAAGGAGAAAAGGGTTATTATCAGATTTTGTAAGTTTAAGACAGCAGCTACTGTTGTCATTATGAAAGAATACTTTGAGCAAAGAAATTGTTATGAGTCAGAAGCATCTGCTATGTTAATTATACCTCATAAACACATATATACAAGTGAATTAAATATGCAAATACTTAACACAAACACAAGTACACAAATATTAGGGAGGAAAAGACTTAACACAACAGCTAACCTGAAATTTAGCTACACAACTGGAACTGCAAAAGCTGTACAGTTTTCCATCAGGCATTGTGGCTTGATATTGAGGTAAAGAGTTTCGTTTACAAAAGTGGCAAATAATTCCCATACCTAAAAGAAAAATGTAGTTTACAAACAAAATTAACACAAAATAGTAGCCAAAAAATTTTTTTTTAATAAAAAACATACTGGATTACAGGTCAGCTCTTCCCACCATTTCAATGTGAAAAGCTCTGATTTGTCTATTTTCCAGTCAGTTTCTGCAAGCCACATAAACCATAAGAAACTGAAGAGGTTGAATTCTTCCACTAAAGGTCAGCATTAAATACAAAATTGCACTTTTACTATGAAATTCATTAGAACATTTTCAACATTGAGTTTGCTGAACTGAGACCTATGCCTACTTCGTATATTTGAAGAACACACATTTTGAGTTATTGACCAATTCCTTTAACAGGTTAAAAATTCTACCTAGACAATATCCACATACATTATAACTATCTCCATCCTTCTCCAGTTCTTACTTGAGGAGATAAAATGGCATTGGGGTTGAATCACAAACAAAAGAATATTAATTCATATGCATAAAAATTGCACTATCATTCTGTGACACACCAGAGCATATTATGTCTCAACATTTTTTCTCACAAAGCCTTAAGAGAGTTGAAAACTGTTGCTGACATCAAGCAAAAAGGTCAGGGGAGAAAATGATCCCTCAGGAGTCATTTACTAGTGCTGAATATAAGGACGTTCTTTTTGCTTTGTTTTGGGTTTTTAGGGGTTTTGGTTGGTTGAATTTATTTTGATTTTTCTGGGGAGGGAATTTGTTTGGGTGTTTTTTTAGGGGTGGGGGGAAGAGAGAGGAAAGAGGGGGGAAACCAGGGGCTTGTTATTTTTTATTTAAAAACCCTGTGAAGTCACAGCTGCATAGATTAATTCTAAAACAAAACCACCCGCCCCCAGTGTTCAAACCTAAAAAAAAAAAAAGTCTAGTCTTAGCAGTGAAGAAGATCCATCATCCTTTTCACTTACTTTGTGATTCTGCATATTTTGATTTGTGTGTATTCATGCATACAGTTGAGCAGTATGGCTCCGTACATCCATTAGGTTCTATGAACTGAGTCATGTCAAAAAACCTGCACTGAGCTCTGCAGCCACTACAAGATGTTAATTTGCCATATTTCTAAAACATAAAACAAAGCAAAACAATACATCAGTTAAAACTATGTTTGGCTTTTAGTTTTAAATTATGGTATAACAAACACAAAGGAAAACTTATTTATTTGCTTCTGCAATTTGCTTCCCCATAAGAACCTTACTAACAAACTTTCATGATCATCCTCTCCAGAGCATTCAACTCTATGGAAGAGTCTTGCTCCTGTGAAGAAGCAGGATAAAACTAAACTTCTGTGTGAAGGCAAAAACCAAAACTCACCTATCAAAAAGCCACACACAAATGAACAAAAAAATAAAATAAACACACCCCCCCAAACCCGCCAACACATCCCAAAACACGCTGTCCCAAACCACACCATGTGCAAACTATGAACTGCAGTAAGAGTATACAGCAACTTGTGCTCAGCTGGAGATTTTGAAGCAACAATCCTCATTGATGGGACAATGGTTCTAAGACAAAAAAATGGAGTCTGATACGGCAAAGATGAAGGATACAAAATAGGTGCTTACTTTAAAAAAAGAATAAATTGTACTCTCCAAATTATAACCCTTAATATTATCAAGCATGAGTTAAACATAGCAGTTTCTTGGTAACAACACTATTTGGAGAACATTTAACTTCTCTTCTAGTTCCAGTCCTTCAGGCAGAAAACACACACTGCATGGTTCCTATGCTCCTCATTGGACCCAATGAGGAACTGTGACTCCATGAACATGGTTAACAGACTCAATTTTGACATCTCTTAGAGAAGTCAGTCAATAAACAGTTTCCCACAAAGGGGAACGAATGTTCTATAAAAAGCACAGAAAAGTCACACCAAATAGAAATACCAATGACATAGCTGACACACAAAATCAAGAATTCTGATCTGCCACATGTATTACATGCTCAAGTGTTAGGCAAGTATCTCAAACACTACAAATCAAGTTTGAAGACAAAATGTGTAGACACCTTCCCTGCCCAAATAAAGTGTCATGGTGTTGACACTGATCACAGGATTACTTATTTGAGCAGCAAAGCATCTCTTATCATAGTACTACAGAACGGCTTGAGTTGGAAGGGACCTGAAAGCTCATCTAGTTCCAACCACCCTGCCACAGGCAGGGACACCTTCCACCAGGTTTCTCAAAGCCTCATCCAACCTGGCCTTGAACATTTCCAGGGATGGGGCAGCCACAGCTTTTCCGGGCAACCTGTTCCACTGCCCTCATAGTAAAGAATTTCTTCCTAATATCTAATAAAGATTTGCTCTCTTTCAGCTATCAGACAGACTCTCTCCTTTTGAGTCTATTGACACTCAAGCACTTTTTCCCTTCTGCTGAAGCATGATTTTGGCACTACCTTTCCCTCCCTCCTTCTCAAGTACTGAAGGGGGAAGAAAAGGCAAAGCATGTTTCATAGGCACTTCAGCTTTGTTCAGAGTAACAGGAGCTTCGATGTGTAACTTTACTCTTCCTACCTTTAACTGCCTAAATTTGAGAACCAGCTAAATCCAGGTCTTACAAACAGCTAGAGAAGCAGCTGCTTTATAACATGCACTGCCTTTCCTATAGTAAAAACACGTATATAAAAGTTTACAAATACACACTCCTCTGCCACAAATAGGCTGTACCACCTTGCAGAAATCAGCAAAATTTCAAAATACCAGACTTCACAATTTTCACAACCTTTGCTGTGGTTTTCTACCATGAAATACCTAGAACAGTGTATTTTATACAACTTCAGGATCCTGCCTTCCCATCTTCACCTTTTTCCATCTGCCTTTAAAAATGTTACCCAGCATCTAACAGTCCTCATAAGAAGCCAGAATACTGACAAAATCTGCACTAAGTACCAAGACCAACATGCAACAATTATAGTGATCTATACCAAGCTGGAGCTATTCTGCCAATATACATTTCTCTCCTCTGACAGGCTAATAGACAAAAGCAGGCCATCAAGAATAGCTGAAATTACATTACCAGTGAGGATACAGAAGGTCAGTTTACAATGGACCTGACTTCTTGAACAAGCTTAATTGACAACAGCCAAGAAAAAAACCTGCATGCACAAATAATCCTGGTACCTCTAGAATATAAACCAAAATGTAAATCTAGAAGTACTCATGCAAATATGCTAAGACCTTAACAAAGAGTATTCAGGAATATCATCAGAAAATAGTGCATAGCTAAGGTGGAATTTTTACAAGTTCTAGGTCCGAAAGAAAAAGTAAAAAGATTAAAAAACAGGTTTAATAAATGAATTTATAGTAAGCTGATCAGAGCATAATCGAAAAAGATTCACTGTGTCACAGACCACATTTCTACAAATATCCCTTGAAAGTAGAAATAGCTTTTGCTAACAGCATCTGAAATACATTATTTAAATGATGTCAATAGAAAATCATGCACACAAAGTATAGTGGAGCAACATGTCCACTGCTTCTGAATGTCCAACACCCTTATAACATCAGAGTTCTTTACTGATTTTACTCTAGATCTTTCAGACTTAAAAACAAGAACAATCTTTATTAATATCTAGTAATAACCTAGAAAACCTAGATCTAAATTATCAAGACTACAAGAATATTAATTCCCACAAAATGTATCAAAGATGTAGAAGACTTTACAAGTAGAAACAAAAGCACAACAGCAAAGCTTTTACTTGACCCTTGTCACAGCAACAAAGTGTTTGAGCATTTCTGCAACATTAGAAGTTCAAACACGTTGTTACACAAGTGAAGGCAACAGGACACTGGTGAAGAAGAAAAACTTAAAATGCCCAAAACTTCAGATTTATTGCTCCTGAAATCTTGCAATCGTCATCTCCTTCAAGCTGAAGTTCTCCTGCATTATTACTCTTGACAGCACTCTCCAAACATGTAAGTTTGAATATTCAAAAGGAGTACATCACTATTACAAAGATCAATGCATACCTGAATGTATTCAATCAGCATTACACAGGTGTTTCATTTCTTAATCGGGGCATTCCCAGGCACAGCTACAGGTGGGGCAGAGATCCACAGCAGCCCTGAGGAGGACTTGGAGGTGTTGCTAGATGAGAAAATGAACATGAGCCAGCTTCAGTGCACGCTCGCAGCCTGGGCTGTATCAAAAGGAGCGTGACCAGCAGGTCAAAGGAGGTGATCCTGCCCCTCTACTCTGCTCTTGTGAAACCTCACTTGGAGTATTGTGTGCAGTTCTGGTGTCCTCAACATAAGGACATGGAACTGTTGGAACAAGTCCAGAGGAGGGCCACGAGGATGATCAGGGGACTGGAGCACCTCCCATATGAAGATAGGCTGAGAAAGTTGGTGCTGTTCAGCCTGGAAAAGAGAAGGCTGCATGGTGACCTCGTAGCAGCCTTCCAGTATCTGAAGGAGGCCTATAGGGATGCTGGGGAAGGACTCCTCATTAGGGACCGTAGTGATAGGACAAGGGGTAACGGGTTAAAACTTAAACGGGGGAAGTTTAGATTGGATAGAAGGAAGAAGTTCTTTACTGTAAGGGTGGTGAGGCAGTGGAATGGGTTGCCGAGGGAAGTTGTGAATTCTCCATCGCTGGTGGTGTTCAAGGCCAGGTTGGACAGAGCCTTGGGTGGCATGGTTTAGTGTGAGGTTTCCCTGCCCATGTCAGGGGGTGGAACTACACGATCTTAAGGTAATTTCCAATCCTAACTATTCTATGACTCTATGATTAATAGCTTATCTAACTAAAAGGCTTCCTTCATCGACAACATCAGCAGAGAACATCATACTGTACTATCCCATGCTTTTGCATAGCCATATGCAAATCAAGAACCTTCTCTTGTTCTTAAGTGTCAGATTTCCAGATGAAGCACTCTTCTCAAGGTTCTCAGATAACTTACTTCTACTCCCACATTCATCACGTTATCTTTCATCTCTAAGAATCTGCAGTATTAATTTCATTCTCCAGAAAAAAACAGCACCTGAGAATTATTTCCCTAGAAGTAACGTTCTTGCTGGAGTAAACAGAAGATTCACTAAAACTACAAGAACTACAGAAATACATTGGATCAAACAGCATTCTTAGAAGGATTTTTTGGCCTGGAAACAAGACAACTTCAGAGGATAACAACAGAACCAAAAACGGTATCACGTGGGATCAACTGTTGTTTTTTCTAATACTAACAACTATGGGAAATCACATGAGTATCAACACAAGTCGTTTCAAAACAAACAAAACAAGGCAAGCTCTTCACATGGCAAGCAGGAGGTCAGCAGATCATACCAGAGCGTCACGGATGGAAAAAAATGCTTATATCTGTTCAAAAGGAGGCTGGACAAGAACTAATTAAAGCTATCTGCTAAAAACAGCACACAGGAACATTGCATAAAGTTCAAGAGATCCCCTGACCTCTGGATTCAGAAGCTGAAGAGAATGCTTGGAGAAATATCCTGAGTATCTGCCCTGTTCTTACTCTTCCCTATGTGCCCACTTACATATACTGCACAAGTTTCAATCCCTAATCTGAACAAGAACAGCTGTTCTCATGTTCTTACTATAGAAGGTTTTTACTTAATTGAGTATTTTCACCATCCACAAGGAAAAGTGGGTGTTCAGAAAAGAAATTCCAGAAAATGTAAAGCTGTGTCATGTTGTGGGCATTTCAGGGCAACAGAGAGAACAAACTTCACCAGCAAAGCAAAAGACGGAACAAAGACTACCAAAAACTTCACTGCTAAGTAAAAAGGGAATTGGGGGGGGGGGGGGGGGGGGAGGGAATAACCACCACCAAAAAACCCACCAAAAAAAAAACACCAAACCCCAAAGCACCAAAACAACCAACCCCCCCCAAAATAAAAAAAAAAAAAAAATCATAAACCACAAACCCAAACCACAACAAACTCAAAACTTCCTGCCTTTTTAAGATCTGAAGTACAAAATCACAGAAACATGCAGACCAGAGGGAACCCCCAAAGGTCATGTGCAGCCCTGCTCAATGCAGGTCCAGAGCTGAGTCCTCAGGATCTTGACTGCCTAGTCAAACTGAAGCATCACAAGGAG